TCTCTCTCACACACACACTCTCTCTCTCTCACACACTCTCTCTCTCTCTCTCACACACACACACACTCTCTCTCTCTCTCTCTCTCTCTCACACACACACACACTCTGGAGTTTGTGCAGGGAAATCTCCACACACACACACTCTCTCTCTCTCTCTCTCTCTCTCACACACACACACACTCTCTCTCTCACACACACACACACACTCTCTCTCTCTCTCTCTCTCTCTGAGCTCCGGCGGCTCCATGTCTCTCCTGGCGTGTCTTTTGTCGGTGGGAATGATGAGGACAGACATGGTTCTTCACAGGAGGAAGCGCAGAGACGTTCTGCTGTACATCATCGCTGTAGTTTTGCTGATATTCGCAGTGGTTCATCTCGTCTTCTACGCTGGAAAGTGTTTTCAGGGTTCGGCTGAAGTGAGAGTCCGGCGGGATCTCGGTGAGAGAGATTTCATTCATTCACCCAGCGTCCAGTCACATGTATTTCTATAGCGCTTTATACAATACAGACAGTTTAAAAGCAGCTTCACAGAGATAAACAGGGAAAATAACAGTGTTAATGTTGTAAAATTCATCAGTTATGAAACAAATACTGCTTTACAGCTCTACAGAAGACAATAGAGTCATTATTCAGATCAATTCAGTTCAAGTTTTGTTTTCATCCGATAGTGTCAGTGCTGTTAAACTGATATTACTGAATATTAATTGTCTATAACTTGCGTGAACACACACACACACACACACACACACACAAACCATAGACATGATTCAATAAGGTTAAATGGTCCTGAAAAAAACAGTCACACTTGTTCTGTTCGTGGTCAAAAATGACCACACTAGAAACTAATGAAAAATGAATTTCATCTAGTGGAAGCAATTGGTACTGCGACTGAAAGCTCTTTTTTTTTTTTATATCAACTTCAAATTTGGAACACAACTTGTTTAGATTTATGGATTTGATTACAGTAAATGTTTTAGAAAATAAATATTTTATATAACATTTGAAAATTGTATTTTTGTGAATTTTTCATAACAATAGACTTTTTAAACTTTTTTTCGCTTAAGCAATAATCTGCCAAGTGACTTACAGCAGTTTAAGCAGGAAATTTCATCTTCATGTCTATGCTCAAAAAGTGGTTAACAGGTAATAAATGGATCAAAACTATTCCATAAATATAAGTTAGTACCTTAAAATCTCCTAAACACATTTTAAAATATAGTACATTCGTTGCATTGAAGAAAAATCTGTCATTTTTGACCGCCATGTGAGCATTCGTGAGCAGCAGTAAACTCAAATGAAGATGTGTGTGTGTGTGTGTGTGTGTGTGTGTGTGTGTGTGTGTGTGTGTGTGTCTGTGTGTGTGTTTCAGATAATGCATCTGACTGCATCCCGCCGCAGTCGTCTGAATTTCCTGAAGGATTCTTCACGGTTGAGGAGAGGAAGGACGGAGGGATTCTGATTTATTTCATGATCATTTTCTACATGCTTCTGTCCGTGTCGATTGTGTGTGGTGATTACTTCCTGCCGTCTCTGGAGCTCATCAGCGAGCGTAAGCCGTGCTTTGTCAGGTTTCTGCTGGTGTGTGTGTGTGTTCAGTGTGATTTCACTGGATCTGTGTGTGTTTCAGGTCTCGGTCTTTCGCAGGACGTCGCTGGAGCTACTTTCATGGCCGCCGGGAGCTCAGCACCGGAACTCGTCACGGCGTTTCTGGGTAAATTTATTTATTTTTTCCTACTGAGGAATTTTGAGGAAACATCTGAAAGAAAATCGATATATAAAGACAAACAGTATTTAGTAACTTATTTCAATTGAGCTGTATTGAATGAGGTTGCTGTATGATCTTCTGTAGAGCTACTATATAGCTGAAACTGAAGTTGTAATTATAAAGCGACCTGTGTTTACAGTATTAAACGCTACATATATAATCGTGACATAAGATCCCGCTCGTGAGCAGTGAGATCAGTGCAGAGTGACGTCCGGTGTGTTTCTGCTCAGGTGTGTTCGTGACGAAGGGAGACATCGGCGTGAGCACCATCATGGGATCGGCCGTCTATAACCTGCTGTGCATCTGTGCGGCGTGTGGCCTGCTGACCTCTGCGGTGCGTGACCTCACACACACACACACAACACGCTCGTTATTCACGTGGTGTAAGCGTGTGCATGTGTGTGTTTTACTCTGTTCAGGTGGGTCGTCTCTCCTGCTGGCCGTTGTTCAGGGATTGTGTGGCGTACGCCATCAGCGTCACCGCAGTCATCGCCATCATCTCAGATAACAGAGTTCACTGGTGAGTCTGCGATGATTCTGAGCCTCAGACACACTCTGAGTCTGAACAAAACAGTTTTTAATAAAAATGCTGTGTTTGATCAGTTAGTAAAGTAGCAGCACACTGTTCATAACAAGTGCGCCGCACACGTCCTGAAAAGCAAAGCCAAAACATTGGTGCAAACATCTGGTGGCTGGCTGCAGTAAAGGTCATAAACCCCGCCCTCTCCATGTAAACTACTGGACATAAGTCGAGCTAAAAATTCAAATTATACTTCAAATACATTTTTCCCAAAGATAGATTCAATCATTAGTTAGGTAGTTCTTGTCACGCTGAAAAGGTTTTTTTTGTTTTTTTTTACAAGTTTGCGTTTAGTCTGTTATTTGATGCTATTAAAAAACGGGGTGTGGTGTAATGATTGTGAGCTCGCGACGGGTTTGCAGGAGTTTGGGCGGGACTTTGATACAGCAGCTCCACCTCACGATCACTCCTGCGCAGACTGGGGCTCCAAACGAATCACTGGATTCTGGCTCCAAACGAATCAGTACTGCGCAGACTCCAACTCCAAGCGAATCACTGCTGCGCAGATTCTGGCTCCAAACGAATCAGTACTGCGCAGACTCGAGCTCCAAACAAATCACTACTGCGCAGATTCTGGCTCCAAACGAATCAGTACTGCGCAGACTCAAGTCCAAATGAATCAGTACTGCGCAGACTCTGGCTTCAAACAAATCACTGCTGCGCAGATTCTGGCTCCAAATTAATCAGAACTGCGCAGACTCTGGCTTCAAACGAATCAGTACTGCACAGACTCGCGCTCCAAATGAATCAGTACTGCGCAGACTCTGGCTTCAAATGAATCAGTACTGCGCAGACTCTGGCTTCAAACAAATCACTGCTGCGCAGATTCTGGCTTCAAACGAATCAGTACTGCGCAGACTCAAGCTCCAAACAAATCACTGCTGCGCAGATTCTGGCTCCAAACAAATCAGAACTGCGCAGACTCGAGCTCCAAACGAATCACTACTGCGCAGATTCTGGCTCCAAACG